TTTTATTCATTATTAATTTTATCAGATATTTTATTTATAATTTTATTATTATATATTCTTAATATTCCTTATTATATATTTTATTTTTTAATATTTTGTTATATTTATTGTCATTTTATTATTCTATATTTGTTATTAATTTATTAATATATATTTTATTTATATTATATATTCTTAATATTCTTTTATTATTATTATATATTTTATTTTTAATTATATTTATTATTCTATATCTTATTCTATTAATTATTATTATCTATTGTTATTATTCACTTTTACCTTTAGACACATTTTTGAATATTATTATTATTATTATTATTATGAGAGAGAGAAGCATAATCCCTTCCATAAGAGAGAAAAGGCAGAAGCAAAACCAAGCCGTAGGGTTTCCCCCTTTAGAACAATCAGGCAGAAGCTTAGCACAAATGACAGCTCCCCCCATTGAAACAAATGAGAGCCCTTTCTTTGCAGCCTTGAAAGCAGCAGATGTGCCAAGCAGCTGGAGCATCTCCTTCCCTGGGAAAGACCCCATAGAGACGGATGGAGAAAGGATGCCAGGTGGCACTCACCCTCCTGCTTCTGCCGCATCAACAGGATGGATGGATGGAAGGAAGGAAGGTAGGGATGCAGCCAGGCTGGCGGATGGAGGGTGCCTCTTTTCTCTTCCTTTCTCTCTTCCCTTCCTCCTCTTCTGCATTCAGAGGGATTTCCTGCAGAGAAGCCCATGCATCTGCATCAGGAGGAAGCCCAGCCAAACCTGAAGGAGGAGAGGAAAAAGGGGAAGCCGGGGTCATGTGATGCCATCTATGCCACCCAAAAGAACCCTGGGTTCGAATCCCACCTCAGCCATCTCACTATTGTTATTATATATTATATTTATAATATAATAATATATTATTATATATTTTATTATATTTATATTCATCATTATTATATATTTTATTTTATTCTGTTTATTATTATTATTATATTTTATTTTATTATTCCATTTTATAATGATGTATTTTATTCTGATCTATTTTTAAATATTTTATTCTATTTAGTATTGTTGTCCTATTTATTATTATATATTTTATTTTATTTATTATACATTTTATTTATTTCTTCTATTTTTTTCTATTTTATTATTCTGATTTTTTGTTCTCACTCTCTCTCTCTCTCTATATATGTTGTTGTTGTTCATTCGTTCAGTCGTCTCCGACTCTTCGTGACCTCATGGACCAGCCTACGCCAGAGCTCCCTGTCGGCCGTTACCACCCCCAGCTCCCTCAAGGTCAGTCCAGTCACTTCAAGGATGCCATCCATCCATCTTGCCCTTGGTCGGCCCCTCTTCCTTTTGCCTTCCACTTTCCCCAGCATAATTGTCTTCTCTAGGCTTTCCTGTCTCCTCATGATGTGGCCAAAGTACTTCAACTTTGTCTCATTGAGGTGCTCAAGCTCCAGCGCCCCGACAAGGCGGTGATCCTTTGCTGGAGCTCTCTCTCTCTCTCTATATATATATATATTCTGTTTAGTATTGTATTAATATTATTCTATTTTGTTCCAAATTTTATTGTTATATTTGTTATTATACATTTTACTTATTTTTTCTATTTTTTCTATTTTATTATTGTTTTTGTTCTATATATATATATATATATATATTAATTATTCTGTTTAGTATTGTATTGTATTAATATTATTCTATTTTGTTCTATATTTTATTATTATTTGTTATTGTTTCTCTCTATATATAATTTTATTCTATTTATTATAATATATTTTATTCTATTTTATGTATTATTATGTTATTATATATCTTATTTTCTTATCTTTATTATTATTTTCTTATCTTATTATTATACTAATTTTTATTCTATTTATTTTTAGATGTTTTAATATATTTATATATTTTATTTTTATATATTTTATTTATTATTCCATTTGTGTGTGTGTGTGTGTGTGTGTATAAATTCTATTATGGTATACATAATTTTATTATATTTATTATTATTCTAATTTTTATTTTATTTATTCTATTTATTATTTTACATTTTATTATATTTATTATTATTATTTTATTATTATTATTATTATATATTTTATTTATTATTCTATTTCTTATTTATATATATATAATTTTATTCTATTTATTGTGGTATATAATATTTTAGTCTATATATTATTCTTATATTTTTATTTTATTCTATTTATTATCAGATATTTTAGTTTATTTATTATATTATTATTATTATATATTTTATTTATTATCCTGTTTCTCATATATATATATAAAAAATTTTATTCTATTTATTGTGGTATATATTAATTTATTATATTTATTATTATTCCATTTTATTTTATTTATTCTATTTATTATTCTGTATTTTATTTTATTTATTATTATTATATATTCTATTTATTATTTATATATATTTATAATTTCATTGTATTTTTATTATAAATTTTATTTCATTTATTATTCTATTTTATTATTTTATTCTATTTAGTATTATTACATTTATCATTATTATCATTATCCCGCTTCTTCCCTTTAGATTGAGATGCATTTGAGCAAAGTGACCCATACGTTGCGGTGGGGTCCACCTGTGGGGTCACTTCACCCCTTCTCAGAACCTACAGAAGTTATTATTTATGTTATTCTGATCTTATTTTGTGCCTGCGTTCTCTCCCTTGCAAGGCGTAGTCAAGGAGGCGTCTTCCAGGCAGAGAGTCCCATGATGTGGCCAAAGGCTAAATTCGGCCTCGTGCCCGCAAGGAAGGCAGCCTCGCCCTCCTAATGACAGGGCCTCCTTCTCTCCCTCCAATTATCCCCGCCGTCTCTCATCCAAATGTATTTCTGGCTTTGCAGGGGCCAAATGAGAGGATTTGTTTCGAAGCCAAAGAGCCGGCGTTCTCGCAGGAGCAGTACCTATTGATCTACTCACATTTGTATGTTTTCAAACTGCTAGGTTGGCAGAAGCTGGGGCTAATGAAACGATGGAGGATTTTAGAAGGGCCTGGCCCTGTAGGAGAGACCCTGCGGACCCACTAAAGAGGGATCGCTACAATGGGGAGCAAAGAGAAGCCCAGTTTAAGATAATTTCCCTAGGTTCCCAAAAAGAATCTCGCCAAAGTTGAAGAAAGCGCCACCGAGATGATTTTATTGCAATTGTGTACATGTTATGCTAAGCTAAAGCAGAACATGTACACAAATAAATGCAATTTTTATAGAAATACAGAGTTGTGTGGTTCAAATCTCCCGCTCTCCGCTCTTGCTCGGCTTGAAGGTGATTGGCTGGGAGGAGGCTCGGCCGCCCCTCGAGCGCCTAGGCCAATCACAGGGCTTCTGCGGTGCGCCAGAGCCAATCAGGAGGCTTCTGCTGCCTAGGCACTCCAGTGAATCAGCAGGGAGGGAGGCGGGAGAAGGGAATACAATGCATTCTTGAGTGGATTATGGTATCAGGAAATGTCCAGGGGCCGATTCAGCTGAAAAGGATGCAAAGCAGCAACCCTTCGCCAAGCTAAAGCAGAACATGTACATAAATAAATGCCATTTTTATAGAAATACAGAGTTGTGTGGTTCAAATCTCCCGCTCTACTATTATTACTATTAGGTATTATTATTATATGTATTAATAATATATTAGGTATTATCATTTCTATTATTATTATTAGATATTATTATTAGATGTATTAATAATAATATTATATTAAGTATTATCATTTCTATTAGTATTATTATTATCATTAGGTATTATTATTATTATATGTATTAATAATAATATTATATTAGGTATTATAATTTCTATTAGTACTATTACTATTATTACTATTACGTATTATTATTATTATATGTATTAATAATAATATTATATGAGCTATTATCATTTCTATTATTACTATTAGGTATTATTATTATTATATGTATTAATAATAATATTATATTAGGTATTATTATTACTATTATTACTATTAGGTATTATTTTTATTATATGTATTATTAATAATAATATATTAGGTATTATAATTTCTATTATAACTATTACTACTATTAGGTATTATTATAATATGTATTAATAATAATATTATATTTAGTATTATTATTTTATTATTAGTACTATTTGGTATTATTATTATATGTATTAATAATAATATTATTATTTTAAGTACTATTATGTCATTTATTTGTATTATTACTATTGCGTATTATTATATTAAGTATTATTATGTTTATTATTTCATTATCACTCAAGCAAGAGGGACTCCATCTCCCTTGAGCCTCTGCGGCAGGGATTCCCATTGGAAACAATATTGCTGTAGGGCGAAGGGCATGGCGGGAGATGTAGTCTGCGAAGTTGTAGAAACATGGCGCCCTTTCAAGCAAAAGGACTCCGTTTCCCTTGAGACTCTGCGGTAGTGATTCTCATTAGAAACAATATGGCTGTTCCGCGAAAGGCAAGATGGGAATTGCAGTCTGCGAAGTTTTACAACATGGCGTCCTTTCAAGCAAGCGCTAAGGGTGTTTAGTGGACTCCATCTCCCGCGAGCCTCTGCGCCAGGGATTCGCATTAGAAACAACACGGCTGTTCCGCGAAAGGCAAGATGGGAATTGCAGTCTGCGAAGTTTTACAACATGGCGTCCTTTCAAGCAAGCGCTAAGGGTGTTTAGAGGACTCCATATCCCGCGAGCCTCTGCGCCAGGGATTCGCATTAGAAACAACACGGCTGTTCCGCGAAAGGCAAGATGGGAATTGCAGTCTGCGAAGTTTTACAACATGGCGTCCTTTCAAGCAAGCGCTAAGGGTGTTTAGAGGACTCCATATCCCGCGAGCCTCTGCGCCAGGGATTCGCATTAGAAACAACACGGCTGTTCCGCGAAAGGCAAGATGGGAATTGCAGTCTGCGAAGTTTTACAACATGGCGTCCTTTCAAGCAATCGCTAAGGGTGTTTAGAGGACTCCATATCCCGCGAGCCTCTGCGGCAGGGATTCGCATTAGAAACAATACGGCTGTTCTGCGAAAGGCAAGACGGGAGATGTAGTCTGCGAAGTTTTACAACATGGCGTCCTTTCAAGAAAGAGTTCAGGGTATTTAGTGGACTCAATCTCCCGCGAGCCTCTGCGGCAGGGATTCCCATTGGGAGCAATAAGGCCGTTCCGCGCAAGGCCTGACGGGAGACGGAGTCTCGTCCTCTCTGAGGGAAAGCGAGCACGATGGCGGCGCCGTCTCCTTCTCCCTCGGCGGGGCCCGAAGAAGCGTCGCCGGCAGGGCTGCAGTACAGCGTGCTGCTGGAGCACCTGGTCGGGGAGAAGCGCGGGCCTCGTCCCGGCCTGGAGACGGCGGCCTTGGCCTTGGCGGGCTTCCCTTCGCCGGCGAAGAGCGCCGAGCAGAAGGCGGTGGAGCGCGCCATGGAGAGCTGCGCCTTCAAGGCCGCTTTGGCCTGCGCGGGAGGTGAGCTAGGCCGCAAGAGGGCCGGCACGCCGCGCAAGGGCTGCTGGGAGGGAGGGAAGAGGCAGAGAGCAATCATGACGCCATCTTGTGTGTGTATATTACATTAATAGTTAGGAAAAATAAATAAATAAATATATTTCTCAATAATTCAGGCATAAAATATAATGCACAATATGTAATAAAATACAATAAATATAAATATGTTATAAAATACAATATTCTGTAATAAAAATATCTAACTTCTGAATATATATTAATTCAGGCATAAAATATAATGCACAACATGTAATAAAATACAATAAATATAAATAAATATATTATAAAACATAATATTCTGTAATAAAAATATCTAACTTTTGAAATATATATATATATATCTCAATAATACAGGCATAAAATATAATGCACAATATGTAATAAAATACAATAAATATAAATATGTTATAAAATACAATATTCTGTAATTAATATATCTAACTTCTGAAAAATAATAATTAAATAAATATGTTATAAAATATAATGTTCTGTAATTAATATAAACTTCTGATAAATAAATATATATTTCTTAATAATTCAGTCATAAAATATAATGCACAATATGTAATAAAGTACAATAAATATAAATAAATATGTTATAAAATATAATGTTCTGTAATAAATATATCTAACTTCTGAAAAATAAATATATATTTCTCAATAATACAGGCATAAAATATAATGCACAATATGTAATAAAATACCATAAATATAAAATATAATATTCTGTAATAAATATATCTAACTTCTGAAATATATATATATATATATATATATCTCAATAATACAGGCATAAAATATAATGCACAATGCGTAATAAAATGTTATAAATATAAAATATAATATTCTGTTATATATATATATATATATATATATATATATGTCATGTTCGTTTGTGGGATAAACATAAACGCAAAAACCACTGGGCGTATTGACACCAAATTTGGACACAAGACACCTCTCAGGCCAACAAGTGACTATCACTCATAAAAACGCTGAAAAATGCAGTGGAAGGGACTTAAAAGGCCAAAAAACAAAAAATGAATTACAACGCATGTGCAAAACTACATATATACACACATATATACGCACACAAAACACATGTATACATACATATATATATATATATATATACACACACACACACATACATACACATATATATACACATATATACACACACAATACACATATACACAGACTGGGCCACAGCAACGCATTGCTGTGGTCCAGTCTATGTATATGTGCTATGTTTGCATGTGGTTTTGTGCATACATTGTAATGTATTTTTATTTTTTGGCTTTTTAAGTCTCTTTCACTGTGTTTTTCAGTATTTCTATGAGTGATGGTCACTTATTGGTCTGGTAGGTGTCTTGTGTCCAAATTTGGTGTCAATTCGTCCAGTGGTTTTGAGTTATGTTAATCTCACAAACAAACATTACATTTTTATTTGTATAAATATATATATACTAGCCGAACCCTGCCACACGTTGCTGTGGCCCAGTCTGTGTATATGTATTTTGTGTGTATATATATTTATATATGTGTGTGTATATTTGTGTATATGTGTAAATATGTTGTTTTGCGCATGAATTGTAATGTAATTTTTATTTTTTTGGCTTTTAAAGTCTCTTCCACTGTGTTTTTCAGTGTTTTTATGAGTGATGGTCAATTGTTGGCCTTATAGGTGTATTGTGTCCAAATTTGGTGTCAACATGTCCAGTGGTTTTTGAGTTATGCTAATCCCACAAACGAACATTACGTTTTTATTTATATAGATATAAAGAACATCACATCTTTATTTATACAGAATATATATATATATATATATATAGAGAGAGAGAGAGAGAGAGAGAGAGAGAGTATCTGTATATGCAGTATATAAATACTGTAAATAAATAAACTATATATATACATGTATACATAGTATATATAATAAAATATAAATAATATACAAAATATTATGGTAGAAAATAACAAATTTTTTAATAAAAACAATCAAAAATAATAAAATTAAAATAATTTTAAAAAATATATAATGTCTGTATACATGGTATATAATATTAATATAATAAATATATTGTGTCTGTATACATTTTTATTTATTTATTTATTTATTTACTTTGCTTATATACCGCTGTTCTCAGCCCGGGGGCGACTCACAGCGGTGTACAACATAGAAAGAACAAGGTTCAAAATTCAAGACACAATATTAAATGATCCACAATCCAGCATGGTGCCCTTGAAGTGACTGGCTTGACTCTGAAGGAGCTGGGGGTGGTGACTGCAGACAGAGAGTTCTGACATGGGTTGGTCCGTGAGGTCACACAGAGTCAGAAGCGACTGAACGAATAAACAACAACATACATGGTATATATAAGAGTCATACGCACTGTCCCGGAGTGTAGTGGAGGCTCTTTCTTTGGAGGCTTTTAAGTAGAGGCTGGATGCCATCTGTCGGGGGTGCTTTGAATGCGATGTTTCTGCTTCTTGGCAGAATGGGGTTGGACTGGATGGCCCACAAAGTCTCTTCCAATTCTAGGATTCCATGATACAAAATAATATATACAATAATATTAATAAATAATATATTAAATATAATTAGCCGTGTGTGTCTAGCCCCATTCGATCACCATTTATCTATCTAAACACATAATAAAAGTGAAAATATGTATGTATGTGTGTGGCTGGGGTGTCCACAAACAGCTATAGCTCCCACTACTCAGGAGACACCAATTTGGGCCCACTGCCTCTCCCTTAACCCTTTCCTATTCTTTTCTATGGCACACAGCAAACAGAGAAGTTGATCAGTAACTGAACATACTAAAGAGGTTTGGGGAGAATTCACCATATTTTATGGGAGTTGTAGGTCCACAGAGCAGCCATGACCAACAAAATGTACTGGAGATTTTTGGAAGAAATTCACTTGATTTGGGGGAGTTGTAGTTCACCTATATCCAGAATGCTCTATGAACCCAAACAATGATGGATCTGGACCACACTTGGCACGCATATCTGATATGCCCAAATTTGAATAGTGTTGGAAATAATTGATAAAATATATATTATTATTATTGTGGTCAATAATCAGCACCAAAGAATAGAACAACTGTCAAAATAGGAACATGACATGCATTTAGGTATTAGGAAACCTTGTCATTCATCGTCACTGCTGTTTATTCCTCTTCCCATTGCTCGCAGGCTTTGTTTTGGGGGGTGCCTTCGGAGTCTTCACGGCCGGCATTGACACCAACGTGGGCTTCGACCCCAAGGACCCCCTCCGCACCCCAACCGCCAGAGAGGTCCTCAAGGACATGGGGCAGCGAGGGATGTCCTACGCCAAGAACTTTGCCATTGTGGGCGCCATGTTCTCCTGCACCGAGTGCCTGGTCGAGTCGGTGAGCTCTTCCTTTCCGTGCTATTTATGCCCTTTTGTAAGAGTTCTCTGCAGCAGGATCCCATCTCATTATATGTTTCCCCCGTTTCGTATTACGCTCACTCCATTTTCTCCGTTTTTATTCCATGCACAAAGAAATGCATTATCATTATTATCTTATTGTTATTATTATTTTTATTATATGCGCAAAGAAATGCTTTATTATATGTAATATCATTAATGTATTATTATTACATGCACAAAGAAATGTCTATATTATATATTATTAAATTATTGTACTATTACACGCACAAACAAATGCTTTATTGTATTATAATTAATATATTATTACATACACAAATGCTTTATTATATTATTATATTATTATTCCATGCACAAATGCTTTATTATTGTGTATTTTTATATTATATTACATTCACAGAGCTGCATTATTATTACTTTATATTACTACATGCAAAAAGAAATGCTTTATTATATTATTAATATAGTTATTGTATTATTATTATTATGTACACTAAGAACTGCATTATCATTATGCATTATGTGTTATATTATTATTATTAATATAATTATTGTATTATTATATACTCAAAGAACTGCATCATTGTTATGTATTATTTTATATTATTTCACACACAAAGAAATGCTTTATTATATTATTATTAATATAGGTATTGTATTATTACATACATGAAGAACTGCACTATTATTATGTATTGTTATTACATGCACAAAGAAATGTGTTATATTATTATTAATATAATTATTGTATTATTATTACATACTCAAAAAACTGCATTATTGTTATGTATTATTTTATATTTTTGCATGCACAAAGAAATTCTTTATTATTATATTATTAATGTAATTACTATATTATTACAGGCACAAAGAAATGCTTTATTATTACAAATATTATATTGCATGCACAAAATGCTTTATTATATTATTACATGCACAAAGAAATGCTTTATCATTATTATATTATTATTATTACATGCACAAAGAACTGCATTATTATATCATAACATGCATAAAGAAATGTGTTGTTATTATAGGTATATATTATTATATTGTTGCATGCAGAAAGAAATGCTTTATTATGTTATATATATTCTAATCACATTATATTATTATATTATATATCATTATAAATGTATTTTTATCTCTCTGCTTAGTGGTGGTATTTATTTTACTCCTTGTTTCCACAGTATCGAGGGAAATCCGACTGGAAGAACAGCGTCATGAGCGGCTGCATCACTGGAGGAGCCATTGGCTTCCGGGGTGAGTAAGCCCTTCAGTTGGAAACATGGCTTTTTTAGTGCTGTGCTTCCTATGGTCTCACTTAATATTCTCATTGTATTGGGCCATTTCAGGAGAGGCGGGTAAGAAGTACTATTCTGATTCTGATAATTATTATTTATTTGGCCAGAGAGGCCACTTTTATGTCAACAAGTTCTTTCCTTTGGCCCTCTAGCTAGGATCCCTTTTCTCTCATTAAGATCAAGTTAGGTCCCATCCACACTGCCATTTAATCCAGTTTCTGAATTATCTGCTTTGAACTGGATCATACAGTAGTGTAGACTCATACAATTCTTTAAGGATTATATATTTAGTTTAGTTCGAGTATAATGTTTCTAGGGTTTTAAATTATGTCATATTGGCATTATTGTATTTATTTATCATGTCAAAAGCAAATTTATTTATTTATTTACTACATTTATATACCGCCCCTCTCAGCCCTCGGAGCCGTTAACAATAGGCTAATTGTATAATATAAAATAATACATAATAATAATGCAGTTCTTTGAGTATGTTATAATAATACAATAATTGTATTAATAATAATATATCACATTTATTTGCACATGTAATAATAATACATGATAATGCAGTTCTTAGTGTACGTAATAATAATACAATAACTATATGTATATTATTATTATTACATGCACAAATGCTTTATTATTGTGTATTATTATATTATTACATGCACAGAGCTGCATTATTATATTTTACATTACTACATGTACAAAGAAATGCTTTATTATATTATTATATCATTTATTATATTATTATATCATTTCTTTGTGCCTGTAGTAATGTAAAATAATATAATAATAATGCAGCTCTATGCATGCAATAATATAATACACAATAATAAAGCATGTAATAATATATAATAACAAAGCGTTTGTGCATGTAATAATAATATATTATATTAATTATAATATAATAAAGCATTTCTTTGTGCATGTAGTAGTGTAAAATAATATAATAATGCAGCTCTGTGCATGCAATAATATAATACACAATAATAAAGCATGTAATAATATATAATAATATAATAAATCATTTGTGCATGTAATAATAATATATTATATTAGTTATAATATAATAAAGCATTTCTTTGTGCATGTAAAAATACCATAATTTAATAATATATAATAATAAAATAAAGCATTTCTTTGTGCATGTAATAATTGAGGATACAGTTATAATGTATTTTAATAAATCACAATCAAAAACTTGACATTATACTAGATATCCTTTGATCAGAAGCAGGCCACAGGAAGTGCATCTGGTGTCGCTGTGAGGTCCTCCCTTGTGCATGTGGCAGGGCTCAAACCTCACTGGAGTCAGTGGTCTGTGGTTTGCTCTCCTCTGTGAGAAATGCTGCCTGAAGGCCATCCAGTCCAACTCCCTCCACCAGGGCAAGAAAATATAATCAAAGCCCTCCTGACAGAGCCATCCAGCCATATGTATATGATTCAGACACACACACATATATGTATATGACAGATATAGTACCATAGATTTGAAAGGGACCCCTAAAGAAGGACAATGATTTGTTGCATGTTCCAAAGTAGGCAAACTAGACAATCTCCACATCAACACTGACAAAGAAACCGCAAGAAATACGGTTTACCCACAAGCAGAAAGACATGACATAGATTAGAAACCAACACTTTCTCACTACTTTATTTTCCAGATCACCAGACTGGGACCCAGCAGCACGTGTTAGGGGATGGCTAGGATAATAGTAGTAGTAGTAGTAGTAGTAGTAGTAGTAGTAGTAATAATAATAATACATCACACAGTCCTAGATGCTTGGGAAGTGTTTGACTTGTGATTTTGTGATATGAAATCCAATATATATATCTCGTTTGTTTGTGTCAGTAAAATAATAATAATAATAATAATAATAATAATAATAATAATAATAATAATAATACATCACACAGTCCTAGATGCTTGGGAAGTGTTCAACTTGTGATTTTGTGATATGAAATTCAGCATATATATCTCATTTGCTGTGGCACACTGTGTTTTTGTGTCAGTAAAAAATATATAAAAAAATAATTTAGTGTTTTGTCTGATTTGCCACGGCCATCTTGAGCCACAAGGAGAGGCAAGTAAGAAATTATTATTATTATTATTATTACTATATCAGAAAACAACAGGATGAGTCCACACAGACACTCTTCTGGCTGTTGAATTGGATCACACATTGGACACTTCCCAAGTGTCTAGGACTGTGTGATGTATCAGCAAATAATGGATGCAGATCCCAGTAAGGTGGCCTTCTGCAACTGGCAGGTGGTAATCTTGTCAGTGCCGATTGTGTTTAAGTGCAGGCCAAGGTCTTTAGGCACTGCACCCAGTGTGCCAATCACCACTGGGACCACCTTTACTGGCTTGTGTCGGAGTCTTTGCAGTTCGCTCTTTAAATCCTCGTATCGTGTCAGCATTTCCAGTTGTTTCTCTTCAGTCCTGCTGTCACCTGGGATTGCAACATCAATGATCCATACTTCGTTGTTTAACACGATTGTGAGGTCAGGTGTCTTGTGCTCCAAAACTCTTGTCTGTCTGAATCTGGAAGTCCCAGAGCAGTTTGGCGTGTTCATTCTATGTAACCTTTTCCAGCTTGTGATCCCACTAGTTCTTTGTTGCAAGCAGATGGTCTTTGTGGCACAAGTTCCAATGAATCATCTGAGCAATGGTGTTGTGCCTCTGCTTGTAGTCTGTCTGTAATCTTCTTGCAGCAGCTGAGGATGGGATCTATTATTTCATCTGCTTCCTTGCAGAGTCTACACTTGGGATCTGTTGTCGACTTTTCAATTCTGGCTTTGATGGCATTGGTTCAAATGGCTTGTTCTTGGGCTGCCAGAACCAGGCCCTCCTTTGTCTCCTTTTTCAGAGTTCAATTCATTATTATTATTATTATTATTATTATTATTATTATTATTATTATCAGAAATAGACCCAAGCGAAATGGAGAGTGGCATTATCGTTGAGCCCAACATGATGGTTGTCCTAAAGCCCATATAGGATAATCTCCCCCTAATAAGAGCATTAAAGGGCTTCCAGCTTAAGCTTGTTACATGAAGCCTGGGGTCTCCACAAAGCTGTTGCCTTGGGATGACCGTTCCCAGGATGACACAGCATTGAGCCACTGCCGTCAAAGGGGTCCCAAGCTGGAGTCCTCCTGCAGCCAATGCACAATGTAAAAGGAGAGGGAGAGGAGTGGAGGGCAGAAAATGACGGAAAGGCCCTTGCGACACTTGCTCATCCATGGCCTCCTTTTGCCTTACAGCCGGTGCCAAAGCGGGTCTCCTGGGCTGCGGGGGCTTTGCTGCGTTCTCCGCCGTCATTGACTACTACCTGAGGTAGCGTGAGCCATCTTTCGTGCCAACAGACGGGACGGCTTCCCAAGGAGACGCATCCCATAGGAAGAAGCCAGCGCCTCCGCTTGCCTGGGTCTCATTCTGCCAAAGGTACAAACGGATTGGCGTGGGGCTGAGCTCTGCTCAGTTTTGTGGATTCAGGAGAAACATCAGGACTCGCTTTTCCCCCAGAGGTGAAATTAGCGACCAATACAGCCACAACTGAGCTTTGGAGGCGGTTGTTGTGGGTTGAATCGGAATAGAGATCGACACACGGGACAGACGCTCCCTTATTGTTTGTGGGTGTGTTCTTGTTTGAGATGTTGGTTTGTTCTCTGTGTGGCTTTTGCAACCAAGTGGGAGGGATTGGGACCCTCCCAAGAGGGGAAAGCATCCAGAAAACAGAATGAATATGGTTTCCTATTCAACCCAGTCTGTAAATCGTTTCTATTTTGTCATTAAGCTCAATTATTTGGGGCCTTTCAAGGATTCAGAAGTGGGGATTGAAGTGGGAGGAAATGGCTGTGTGGAGGGCCTTTTTCCTCTTCAGATCGCACCCCCCTCAGATCTCCTTAGTAATTAAAGCTACCGTATATACTCGAGTATAAGCCGACCCAAATATAAAGACAACACACTTAATTTTACCACAAAAAACTGGGAAAACATATTGACTCGAGTCTAAGCCAAGGGTGGGAAATGCAGAAGCTACTGGTCAATCTCAGAATAAAAATAAAGACTCATAAAATTATATTAATTGAGGTATCCACAGGTTCAATGTTTTTGAGTATTTACATAAAACTGTAATTTAATATAAGTGTCCAACTCTGATGAAACCATTATGCTAACCTTCTTCAAGGTAAATGTGCTTACGTATCCTTCCCATAATAATAGAGTACAATAATAAAAGTCATAATAATAATAATATAGTAAAATAATGGAACTGTAATAATAGAGTGAAATAATAAATGTAATAATAGAGTAAAATGAGAAATATAATCATAACAATGATAGAGAAAAATAATAAATGTAATAATAATAACAATAGAGTAAAATAGCAAATGTAATAATAATAGTAAACAATAAATAAATATAAGAGTAAAATTCTAAATATAATAATAAATAAAGTAAAATAATAAATGTAATGATAGTAAGAGAAAAAATAATAAATGTAATAATAAAAATAAAACAAAAAATTAATGTAATAATAGAGGAAAGTAATAAATATAATAACAGTATAACTGTATAACAATACTAAAAACAATAAATATAATAATAGAGAAAAATAATAAATATTATAGCAATATAACAATACTAAAGTAAAATACTACAGTAAAATAATATAATAAAAAATAGAGTAAAATAATAAATTTATTTCTCACATTTCTATCCCGTCCTTCTCAACCCCCGAAGGGAAATGTAATAATAATAAAAAATAGAGTAAAATAATAAATATAATAATAAATAGAGTAAAATAATACATGTATTAATTTATTTCTCGCATTTCTATCTCGTCCTTCTCAACCCCCGAAGGGAAATGTAATAATAATAAAAATAATAGAGTAAAATAATAAATTAATAATAATAATAATAATAATAATAATAGAGTATAAAATAATAAGTTTGACTCGAGTATAAGCTGAGGGGGGCTTTTTCAGCCTTAAAAAAGGGCTAAAAAACCAGTCTTGCACTCCAGTATATACAGCGTATCTTCTATTCCAAGACCCATTTTCCCTCTTTAAATAAAAACAGGTGTATCTTATGTGTCTCTTACGGTGGAACGGAAATTAAGGGGCGTCTTACAATCAGTGTCATCTCACAATGGAAGAAATATGGTAATGGGGCAGAGAAAGGTGAACAGGAATGACCTCTTCCTCTCTCATCCTTTTTGAAAATGGAAAGATCGAAAAAGGATCTCATCCCCTCGGTGCCCCTTGAGCCATCTTGCTTTTTTTTTTACTTTTTGATGGATTTAACGCCCAGCAAAAGAATCACGGCGCAAACGACCACACCTGACAATTCCTTTGTGCAAACGTTGTGGGTTTTATTAACAGTTTTTCCTTTGAAAGACATGATTTTACATCGATGAAAAAGTTGTCGTCTATAGAAGGGGAAGGAAATTAACCTGTGATGAGACACAACCAAAATTATATATATATAACATTATATATATATATATAGATCCTTAAAACGAGTCAAATATCAATGATTCCTATTTCATCTCCCTGCCCCATTGTCAGAAACAAATAGAAAAGGCAAGCAGGGATATTTTTTGGATTGATGTCGGGCTTACGTAGGAATTAATGCCTTTTTTCCTTGGCATCTGCAACTGTTTCACACACACACAGATGCAGAGTTTGGCCCCTAAATCAAGTAGAATATCCCCGGTCCCTGAATTGTCGCCGCATCGATTCCAAACCCCCTTGAGGTGATGAGGAAATGGAGCACAATAGTACCAGTTGGAGGAAAGAGGTCCCCACTATTTAAACGTAAGTCGTCGTTCTACTCTGTAAATAAAAATCTTATTAAATAATACACAAAACGAGAGAGAGAGGCCTTGGATGTGCAAGAAGCGAAAGGAAACCCGGGCACGGCCTCCTCCCTGAGCCTTCCGTAATCGAACCCTGTAAGCAACGAAACCCTGTTCCGAGGCGGAGAAAGGGATGCCGGAGACCCATCGCCTTTGTGAAGCCGTGAATTCAAGAGGATAATCCACGAGGTGAAACGGGATGTTACTCAGTCCTTTGGGGGGATTTTGGCAACAGAATTAGCTCTGCGTCGAACCATAAATAAACCACAAAGGGAAATGAGAGCTCGCTTTCTTCTCTCTCTCTCGTTCGCACACAAAAGTCACCATTTCGCCGTCAGCTTTGGAAACTTTTTACGGCACGAGAGTAGGGAAACCGATAGGAATAAAGAGAGAAACAGGACGGGAAAGGGAGCCCCTGCTTCCTTCCAAGCCGCCATTCAGGGAGGAGAAGATTGCTCTCATAGTCATGGGGCAAAACGTCCTAAAGATCCCCAAGAAGCTGCCGTACTTTGAGAAGTTGTTCCATTGAGGCTGTGTCGATTCCTGGGAATCGATACAAAAAGAGATTCGGACCGCTAAAGGGGGGAAGAAGAGGGAAGGTTGTACAAAACGGTTGTCCGAGAGGCACAGGCAGCGCGAGTCCTGGGGAACAACAACAACAACAACAAGTTGTTGTGAGTAACAACAACAACAACGTCCTCCTCGGTTTGGAGCAGCGTCCGGGGTCTGCGTCTCTCCGCTTCAGAAAAGCCGGGCCATTGTTCACTTGTAGGCTACACGTCGGTAGAGAAGTAGAGCAAGTTGCGCTTGAGCTCGGCGAAAGAGAGGGGCGGGTGCTGCAAGTAGTACAGCAGCACTTGGACCTGCAGAAAGCAGACACAAAAACATGTAGGGATGGTGGAGAATGTAATCCATCATTGGGACTCACTGTTGTGTCCCTCTTTTCTTTATGGCCCCAAAAAATCCAGTGTCTTTTTATCCAACCCAACACTAGATGCAAGGAGATCGTTCAACAGGTTTGTTTGGCCAAATCGCCCTGCGGGGTGAACAGGGGAAAAAAGGGGGACGTCTCAGCCCCAATGGGTGACCACATTGGACACACAGACCTGTGCAGACCAATGTATCATATTGGTGGGGTTTGCAGGGCAGTGGCGGGGGATTATGGGATCTCTATCATGACCATCTTAAAGTACTGTTGGGGTTTGGGGAGGCGGGGGGATTGACAGGGTGGTGGGAATTGTAATTCACCCACACTTGGAGAGCCACGTATGGAAGTACAGGCCATCCCTGGGTTACAAACATCAATCGGGTTGTAGCACAGCTGGTTAATCGCCAGCAGCAATAGATCACTGCCAACCGGAAGGAGTCAAGTTCGAAGCCCAAGTCGGATTGAGCACCCCACCGTCAGCCTAAGCTAAGCAGTTCGAAAACAGCTAAGCTGTGAGAAATTAAGCACTGCTTTAGCGGGGGAGATATTTTACAACACCATAAAATGCTGGTGATCAAATAACCAAAAAGAGCTCGTCGTCACAGCGGATGGAGTGACAGCACCCTCCTGTGGCTGGAATTGAGAATAATCTCCAGGCGCCAAAGGTGGAAAATGCCGAAATATCTCTGTCTGTCTGTCTGTCTGTCTTGTATATCCTGAAAGGGTTATAGCTGTTCTGATGAATAATTTAGGGAATTTTAAAATGATAATAAATAATGATGATGATTTGTAATTGATAGAATTAGAATACATAAAAGAGCTGACATGTCAGCTTATGATATTTATTTATACCCCGCTTTTTCTCTCCACGAAGGAGACTCAAATTGAGGCTCAGCTCATGTATTTTCTAGGGCTTTCTTAGGCTGATTCTTCTGAAATGCAGGCCAAAGAAATAATAGAAATAATAATAATAATAATTATTATTATTATTATTTAAAGAGCCATGTATTATTATTATTTGAAGAGCCTTGTTATTATCATTAATAAAGAGCTGTGTTATTATTAGTAGTATTTAAAGAGCCATTTATTCTTATTATTCTTATTATTTAAAGTACCATTTATTCTATTATTAAAAGATTATTATTATTATTATTATTATTATTATTATGAGATCCATATTATTGTTTAAAGAGCCTTATCATTATTATTACTATTATTAAAATATACATATTATTATTATTATTATTATTATTTAAGGAGCCTTGCTATAATAATTAAAGAGCCGTTTTATCATTAGTAGTACTTACAGAACAATTTATTCTTATTATTTAAAGTACCATTTATTCTTAGTCTTATTAGTTAAAGGACCCTGTACTGTTATTTAACAAAACATTATTATTGTTAAATGATCATCATCATTATTATTATGAAAATATCAATATTATTATTTAAAGAGCCTTATTATTATTACTATTATTAAGATTATTATTATTATTATTTAAAGAGCCTTGTTATAATCATTAACAAGCTGAGTTATTATTAGTAGTATTTAAAGAGCCATTTATTCTTATTATTTAAAGTACCATTTATTCTTAGTCTTATTAGTTAAGGAACCCTGTACTGTTATTTAACAAAACAGTGTTATTATTAAAAGATTATTATTATTATTATTATTATGAAAAGATCCATTATTATTGTTGTTTAAAGAGCCTTATTATTATTACTATTATTAAAAGATCCATTTATTATTATTATTATTATTTAAAGAACCATTTATTATTATTATTGTTAATATTATTTAAAGAGTCTTATTATTGTTATTATTTAAAGAGCAATATTATTATAACAAGTAGACATTGGTGGTTATATGTTTTTAATGGTTTTTTAATGGACTTTTATAATGTTCTAAATGTTTTGAATTATATTTTATGAGTACTACGGCAGTAAATCGCTGCCTATTTGTAAACCGCCTTTGGGCTGAGAAAGGCGGGATAGAAGTATCATTAATAAATAATAAATAATAAATAAATTACTGCTATTAGAGCCCTTTGTTAATATTGTTATTACTATGATGATGATGATGTGAATGGCGCTTTCAATGGCAACGTCGTGCTGGGCAACCCTTCCTGACCTGGGCCATGACGTCGTGGGACCAGATGTCGGAGGCCAGGCTGAGGGGCCCCTTGCTCTCCCCCTCGGAGGGCCGCAGCAGCGTGGGGCCAAAGACCGTGGCCAGGTTGTGCAGAGACATCTTGTTGACCGGCTCCTTCTCGGCCGCCCTGGCAAGGACAAGAAAGGAAAGGAGGGACGGCCTTGATTGCGGGAACCCAGGTACGGGGAAACCCCATCCAAACCACACCTTGACTTGATCACACATCCTAAATTGATCTGAAAACAAAGGGGTATTGCTTCATTCTTTTCAGCCATCTTTTTCCTTCGAGGGAATCCAAGGGAAGGACAGGGAAAGAGGGTTAAGGAGAGAGAAGCAGGGGCAGGGGATCCCTCCACTTTGGGGGGAGATAGATAGAAGAAAAGGAAAGGCTAGGAGATGAAAGGAGGGGAGAAGAGAGAAATGAGAGAAGAAGTGAGGAGAGGAAAGAAGGAGGGAGAGTAGGAGGAGAGCGTAAATGAGAAAAGAGAGAAAAGGAAAGGAAATGGGAGAGAAGAGATGAGAGGAGGGGAAAAGAAATGAGAGATGAAGGCAGGAGAGAAATGGAGAAAAGGAGAAAAAGAAGAGGAAAGGAAAAGAAAGAAGAAGGAAGGAGATGAGAAAGAGAAAAGAGCAGGGGGACGAGAGGAAAAGGAGAGTAAGATGAGAAAGGGAGAAAAAGAAGAGAAAAGGAGGGGTGAAGAGAAATGAGAGATGAAGGGAGAAAAGAGCAAAAAGGAGGAAAAGAAGAGGAAAATGGAGAGGAGAGGAAAGAAAAGTGAAATTTAGAGGAGAGAAAGAGGAAAGGAGAAGAAGAGAGGATAACGAGAGGGCAAGAAAAAGAATAGGAAAAGAGGAGAGGAAAGGAGAGAAGAAGAGAGGAAAAGGAGAAGAGAAAAGGAGAGAAAAGAAGAAAAATTTGGAGGATAGGAAGAGATGTTGGAAAAGGAGAGAAAGAGGAGAAGACAGGAAAGGAGAAGAGAAGAAAGAAAAGAAGGAAAGGAGGGGAGAGGAAGAGATGAGGAAAAAGGAGACAAGGAAAGGAGGGAAGAGAGGGAAGGGAGAGGGGAAGTAGAAAAGAGAAGGAGAGGGAAATAGTAGAAAAGGACAGGAGAAGAAAAGAGGAAAGGGGGAGAGAAGAGAAAGAAAAGAAGGAGAAAGGGAAAGAAAAAAGAACAGGAAAGAAAAGAGGAAAAGAAAGAAGAGAGAAAATGAGAAGAGGTGAAGAAAGAAGAGACCCCCAAGATGGAAAGAGTAGGTGGTAAAGGAAAGGTGAGGAGGGATGGGAAGATGGCCTGACAGGAAGGTTGCTTCTTCCTTTGTCCCAAAGGTCTCCAAAGTGCCCTCCCTTCCGCTGCATGCTGTCCAACGGGACAGATGTGCTCTCCTCCCCGAGACACGGGTTTTCCTGGCAGCCACAGTGAGGCCTCTTCTTTCCCTTTCTCCAGCTTGTTTCTTGACCAGCCAAAGAGGGAAGGGAAGGAGGGGAAACCACGCCAAGAAGGCAGGATTCCAGTCCCGGTTCCAACCTTCCCGACAACCCTGGCCAAGCCACAGCTCTTGAAGAAGTGTCGTGTCCTCAGCAAAAGGCCACGGAACAAAAACTCAGCCTCTTCTTACCCAGATGTTTCCAAAAACGCTTCCTATGCACCTGTTGTTACTGCGGTCGCTGCCTGACCCAGCCACAAAACAAACAAACAAACAATAACCAAGGAGAGGAGGAAACCGGGTTGCAAACCAAAATATCCTCTCCTGGATGCTCTGAATCCCTTCCAAGATGGAGAAGAAGGTTAGGGTCCCCCACAGAAGTGACAACATCTTTGGAATCTAAGATGCCCAGACTCCAAAGAGGGGAATGGAAGAAGGAAGGAAGGAGAGAGGGAATAAAGGAAAGGAAAGAAGGGAAGAGAAGAGAGGAAGAAAGAAGGAGGGAGAGAGGAAAGAAAAGGAAGAGGAGGGAGGAGGAGAGAAAGGAAGAAGAAAGAAGGAGGGAGGAAAGGAAGGAAAGAGGGAAGAAGGAAAGGAGGAGAGGAAAGGGAGAAAGAAAGGGGAGAGAGGAAAGGAAGGGAAAGGAAGGAGTGGAAGGGGAGGAGGAAGGAAGAAGAAGAAAGGAGAGAGGAAGGAAAAGGAAAGAAGGAAGGAGGAGGGAAGGAGAAGAAAGGAAAAGAAGGAAGAAAAAGAGGGGAGAGGAAAGGAAAGGGAAGGAGGGAAGAGGAGAATAAGGAGGAGGAAGGAGAAGAAGAAAGGAGGAGGGGGAAAGGAGAGGAAGAAAGGAGAGGAAGATAAAGTAAAGGAGAGGCAAGGGGAGAGGTAGGAAAAGAGGAAAGGAAATAGGAAGGAGAGAAGGAGGGAAGGAATAAAACGAGGGGGAGGGAAGGAAATGAAGGGAAAGGAAAATGGGGAGAAGAAAGAGAAGGAAGGATGGAAAGAGGAAAAATGAAGAAAGGAGAGGAAGAGAAAGGAAAGAACGGAAAGAAAGACAGGAAAGGGAAGAAGGGAAGAGAAAGAAGGGGAAAGATAGGGAGACAGGAAAGAAATGGGAAGGAGAGGAAGAAGGGAAAGAATTATGAGGAAGGGAAGGAAACGGAAGGGAAAGGAGGAAGGAGGAGAGGAAAGGAAAAAAGGAGAAGAAGAAAGGAAAAGGAGGGGAAAGGGAAGAAAACGGGAGAGGTAGGGAGAGAGGAAGGGAAGCAGGAAGGAGAGGAAGAGAGGAAAGTGAAGGAAATAAAAGGGAAAGAATAGAGAGAGGTAAGGGAAGTGTGAGAGAAAGCCTCAGTGTTAGTAGGCCTCAGTGTGAGGGAGGCCTCAGTGTGAGAGAGGCCTCAGTATGAGAAGGCCTTAGTGTGAGAAGCTTTGCTGAGGGAAGCTCCAGTGTGTGAAGGCTGCTGTGTGTGAAAATACACCATGCAAAGCTCCCTGTGTATTTGCTCAGGCATTCTGGAACGAGGAATGTACCTACTCGCAGTTTCCAAAGAGGGGAAGACAACTCACCGCTTCAAGTGTTCCAGCAGGAAGAGGAAGGTGATGAGGTTGGGGTCCGGCAAGGAGCGCAAGAGGTGCATCATGCAGTTCTCTTTGGCCGCCGGGTCGGAGAGGGCTGCAAGGGAAGCAAAGCAGTGGGAATAGCCGCCAAGATTGGGACTGGCCCGTGTTGTTGGGCCAAACACACAAGGGCCTCTCTCTCTCCCTCTCTCTCTTACCGATGCCCTCCATGAAGGCGGGGTAGAGCCGGTCGGTGAGGAGGGGCTCGGGCAGCTCCCGGAAGTACAGCTTCAGGGTCCCCGCAATAGCGTTGATGTCCATGTCGCTCAGCATCATCAGGATGTCTTTGCTGTCTGTGGGGAAGGAAGCGACACCAAGCCATTACGAATACGACACACCTGGGAAAGCTCTGGATTCAGGCCCCATCATCCCTGGGCGAGAGGGAAGGCGTTTTCTCTCTCTAGAGCAGCGCTCCTCAAGCTGTGGGTTGGATACAGCCTGTTGAGGCCGTTGCAGCACTCCTCAAGGACACATCCAGCCCATCGAAGCCCCCGCCTCAGACTTTAGACCCACTGCTCCTTCTGCTATTTCGACCCCCGCTTGGACTTCCATTAGAAGTCGGTAAGAATGAGGACGTTGCGGGTTGGTGTGTGTCTTTCCTCTCTCTTGATGGGACAGCAGAATAAGTGAGGAAGGCAGAAGGAGAGAGAGAAAGGGTGGAAGGAAAGGGAGGTAGAAAGAAGGGGAGGAAGGAATGAAAGAGGAAAGGAAGGAGTGGAGGAAGGGAGGAAAGAGGAAAGGGAGACAGGGAGAAAGGAGAGAAAGAGACAAAGGGAAGAAGGAAGGGAGGAAAAAGATGAAGGAGAAAGAGAGGAAAGAGAAAAGGAAATGGAGAAAAGAGAGAGACAAAGGGAAGAAGGAAGGAAAGAGGAAGGGAGGAAAAGATGAGAGGAAGGAAAGAGGAAAGAGGAGAGAAAGAAGAGACAAAGGGAAGAAGGAAAGAGGAAGGGGAAAAAGATGAAGGAGGAAGGAAGGAAAGAGGAAAAGGGGAAATGGAGAAAAGAGAGAGACAAAGGGAAGAAGGAAGGAAAGAAGAAGGGAGGAAAAAGAGGAGGAAAAGGAGGAGAAAGGAAGAAGGAAGAGAGGGAGGAAGGAAAGGAAAGGGGCGGAAGGAAGGAAGGAAAAAGATGGAGGAAGGAAGGCAAAAGGTGAAGGAGGAAGGAGGGAAAGAGACGAAGAAAAGATGAAAGGGAGAAGGAGGATGGAAAGAGAAAGGAAGGAGGGGTGGAAGGAAAGAAAAAGCTGGATAAAGGAAGGAAAGAACAAAGGAAGGAAGGAAAAAATGGCGGAAGGAAAAAGATAAGGGAAAGAATAAGGAAAGATAGAGGAAGAAAAGATGAAGGAAGGAAGGAAAATGAGGAAGGAAGGAGGGAGGGAAGGAAAGGGAGACAAAGGAAAGGGGGAGGGAGGGAGGAAAGAAATGGAGGGGAGGGAGGGAGGAAGGGAAAAGACAAAGGGAGGAGGACAGAAGGAAAGGGATGAAGGAAGGAAAGAGGAAAGGGAGAGAGAGGAAGGAAAGATGAAGGAAAGGGACGAAGGAAGGAGGGGAGGAAGGAAGGAAAGGGAAAGAAAGGAATGAAAGAAGGCGAAAGTGAAGAGGAAGGAATGAAAGGAAAGGAAGAGATGGGAGGAAGGAAAGAGAGATGAAGCAAAGAGGGAAGGAAAGAAGGAAGAAAAAGGGGAGGAAAAAAAGACGATATATATGTGGAACCTAGCATGCACATAGTTTCCACTCTACTACCGAGCTGTCTTTCCCTGCAGGCGGGTACGCATTGGAGCTTTGAGAGAGTTAGGAAAGGAGCCAAGGAGCATTGTCTGTCTGCAAGGAAAGCCAAGAGAAGGGTTTCTCACTGGCATCAAAGGCGGCCTTCAGGGCCTGGATGTCAGTGGCCACCCCGGAGATGCGGTAGATGCCCACTTCGTCGATGCCACGCTTCTCGACTTCCTCGATGCACTGGCGGACGATGTAGGGCACCTTGGAGCGCTCCCGCCTGGGAAATAAGCGAGGAAGACGCATATGAATGATGGGGAATTTGCATGACCCCGCCCACTGCCTCTCCCTTAACCCAATGTATATATTATATTATATTATATTCCCTCTGCTGGATGTATAGATAACCAATCCATTAAGCTTTCCCTTCGCCATCACCTACTTGGTGACCACGCTGATCTTGACCCCAAAGACCCCCGTTTGCTTTTTGGAGGGGGTCCTCTTCAGGCTCAGGTCCCGGCTGGTGAACTTCATGGAAAACTCCACCTTGACCTGAAAGGAGGGAGAGAAGGAAAGCAGGATTGAAAGACAAAGAGAGGAAAGGAGGAGTTTCGTACACAGAATCGTATGGGACTGAGAAGACCCTCCTCCTCCTCCTCCTCCTCACCCCATTCATCTCAATGACATCCATGTGCCAGTCCTTGGTCTGAACCGTCTGCGGGTCGAGCTGCCAAAACAAAACAAAAAGGGAGGAAATGAGAGCTGGAGATGGTGTTTTATCTTCAGGGTGGACTACAACTCCCAGAATCCCCAACCCATTCAAAATGGACATCCCATAACTCATTGCAAGGTTGTTTGGATCTGTTCCGAAGCCTAGAAAAGCCATTTTTGGGGCCTGCAAGGCACTGCTCCAAAGCAATGAAAATAAACTGTGATGACAACGACAACGTGAGCGAGGAAAAGGCCTCTATAGGTAAGCGAGTGCGGGACGGTCCCTGGAGAGGCATCCAAAAGCGGTGCAGAACGTCCCATTGGAAAGCTGGAATGCTCCACGCCGAAAACAACAACAACATTGCAGGAAATTTTCCATGTGTTGTCAAAGCTTTTATGGCCGGAATCACTGGGTTGCTGTGAGTTTTCCAGCCACAAAGTCACACAAAGCCTATCACTCCTGGATGCATCCTTGTCCGCCCCCCCAAAAAGCCCTGAAGCAGCTTTATTTGACCCCCTTCCTCTGCAAAGGCCTCTTCTCCGATTCCCTGCCCGTCAGCAGAAGGAGAGAAGGAGCGCAGGAAGGAAGGACGGAAGGAAGGACGAGAAAGAAGGGGAGAAGGGGTCGGCTCTAGGTCACTCGCTCCACCACTGAAACCTTATTTTTGCTGGGAGTTATAGTATTATCTAAAGGAGCACCCGACTATAGTAAACTATAGTTAAACATAGAGTCGAAGTCCGATGTATACAGACACCGAGGCACCCAGAGAGCAGCCAGACTGTCCCAAATGAAGGCGAGGGTTGAATTGGATCTTCCATTGTTGTTGTTGTTGTTGTTACTAACATAGGTACCCAGCGATACACGGGTTAGGTATTTTTGAAAATATCTATACACTGTTCCAGGTGAACTACAACTGCCACAGTTCCAGGAGAACTACAACTCCCATCATTCTATGCAAACTACAGCCCCCATTGTTCCAGGAAAACTACAACTCCCATCTATCTAGAACAACTCCATCATTCCAAGAGAACTACAACTCCCATCATTTCACGTGAACTACAACTCCCATTGCACCAAGTGAACTACAATTCCCATCGTTCCATGCGAACGACAGCTCCCATCTTTCCAGGAGAACTACAACCCCATCATTCCAGGGGAATGGTAACGCTCATCGTTCCAAGGAAACCACAACCCCCATCATTCCAATCGAACTACAACTCTCATCATTCCAGGCAAATGACAACTCTCATCATTCCAGGCAAACAACAACTCCTATTGTTCCAGGAGGACTACAAACCCCATGATTACAGATGAAATACAACTCCCACCATTCCATGCAAACTACAACCCCCATTTTCCCAGAAGAACTGCAACTGCCATCTTTCCAAGAGAACTACAACCTCCTTCATCCCAGATGAACTACAACTTCCATCATTCCAGGTAAACTACAACTCCTACCTTCCCAAGAGAACTTCAACTTCCATAATTCCAGGCAAACTACAACTTCCACCATTCCAGCTGAACTACAACTCCCATCATTAGCCCCCAAACCACACCAGTATGTAAACTGAGTCATAGATCTGAACAGTTATCTAGATCTGTCAATTGGTGGGAGTCACAATGCTCTCTGCATGCGGAAGCCACGTATAAACATAGATAGATTGATATAGATATAGATCTATATAGATAGATCGGCACGTATGGGCCATGGAGGTACCTTCTGGGACTGTGCGAACCACGGACATAGACAGTACACACTGAACACCAAAGTTCCTTTACAAGTTATGGACTCTGATACCCCCAGAGAGCATCCAAACAGTCCCAAAGAAACAAAAACGAGGGTTGAATCAATCCATCCTCAATATTGTTGTTGTTGTTGTTGTTGTTGTTATTATTATTATTATTATTATTATTATTATTATTATTATTATTATTAGGGCTGGCATATCCTTACCCCAAACCACCACCACCACCACCATCTCCTCCTTATTATTATTATTATTATTATTATTATTATTATTATTATTATTATGGCTGGCACGTCCTTCCCCCAAACATCATCATCATCATCATGACGGCTGGCATGTCCTTACCCCAAACCTTATTATTATAATTATGAGGGCTGGCATGTCCTTACCCCAATCATCATCATCATTATTATTATTATTATTATTATTATTATTATTATTATTATTATTATTATTATTAGGGCTGGCATGTCCTTCCCCCAAACATCACCATCATCATCATCATTAGGGCTGGCATGTCCTTACCCCAATCATTATTATTATTGTTATTAGGGCTGGCATGTCCTTACCCCAAACCACCTCCACCTCCTCCTCCTCCTCATTATTATTATTATTATTATTATTATTATTAGGGCTGGCATGTCCTTACCCCAAACATCATCATCATCATCATCATTAGGGCTGGCATGTCCTTACCCCAAACCTTGGAAAGGGCTGCCCTTCTCTACCTACCCTCTTTTCCCTCTGTTGGCTGATCTTAAACATCTCCAAAAAAATAGGCAGAAAGGAAAAGGAGAGTGACCCCCAAGTCGAGTCGGGGGTCCCTCGTATGTCTTTCTCCCCATCAAAGCCAGAAGAAGAGAGAACGGGAGAGCGATTCCGACCCCAAAGCCCTTCGGATCCCTTCCCAAAAATGTTACTAAGCCCATTAAAGGGGAATGACCACCTTTGGCTGGAGGAGCAGCTTGCTGCGGACCCTTCCCCAGAGCCGGGCGCCGGTGTTGGGGGTCCTCCGCTTGCCTTCGGGGACTTCCTTCTTCTCCTCCAAAGAGCAGCGGTGCGGGACCTGGGTCATCTTGTTCCCCAGAACCCTCCCGAATATGTATATATGTGTGTGTGTATTGCAGGAGAGAAGAAGAGAAGGAGGAGAGGATGGGGAGAAGGACAACGGGCTTCCTCTCCATCCCCTTCTCCTATTACAGCCTCTCCTTCTGCATGTTAACTCCATCGGTGCCAGGTCTGTCACCCGTTTTGAACTCCATCATTCGAAAGAGGAAAGGGCATTYGGAGGACAAGCTTCTCCATAGTAATAGTAATAATAATAATAATAATAATAATAATAATAATCCAGCATATAGATCTCATTTGCTGTGGCATACTGTGTTTTGTGTCAGTAAAATAATAATAATAATAATAATAATAATAATAATAATAATAATAATAATAATAATCTTTCTTTTTAACCCGTCCTCTCTCCCCAAGGGGACTCAGGACAGCTTCCAAAAATAAAATAAAATAAAATAAAATAAAATATACAATAAAACGGCAGATATTCAATGCCTCATGCAAATAACAGAATAAACAAACAGAGCAACCATTAAAATTATTCCCACCACATATAGGAGCCAATTTCTCCAGATCTGTGCCAACACAATTTTGTGATTCATAGAATCATAGAGTTGGAAAAGACCTCATGGGCCATTTAGTCAAGATGCAGGAAAATTGCATTCAAAGCACTCCCGACAGATGGCCATCCAGCCTCTGTTTAAAAGCTTCCAAAGTAGGAGCCTCCACCACACTCCGGGGCAGAGAGTTCCAATGCTGAACAGCTCTGATTTAGTTATGTGAGCTATGGGGTTCTATATACCATTTGGTCTTTTGAAAAATGGCATTCATAACCTTTGGGATGCTCCATGCAGTCATGCCCATGGCCACATGACCTTGGAAGTGTCTATGGACAACGCCGTCTCTTTGGCTTGGAAATGGAAATGAGCACCATCCCCCAGGGTCGGACGCGACTAGACTTAATGTCAGGGAAAAACCTTTACCATTATTATTATTTTACTTATTATTATTATATATTGTTCTTATTATAATATTCTAGATATAATTATGCAAGGCAATGGTTTTTAGTTGTTAGACTGAATAACCTGTTCTCTGTGATCTGTTAAGAAAACAAAAGATTTGCCAGTGCATAGAAACAACAGACCTTCAGAAGTGTTTTTCAGTGCTCTCTCTCTCTGTAAATATATATATATATATATATATATATATATATATATATATATATATATACATACACACACACACACACATACACACACACACACACACACATATACATATGCATACACACTCTCCCATAAAACAACTTGTTTCATATCATGCACTCAAGAGACAAAAATGAAGTAGGACTTAGATAAAAATAACATATTTGGTTTACTCACAACCTTCATGTGTTCAGCATAACACAGGTACACAACTTATCCATCACTGACTGACTGACTGACTTTGCAGCTGCAAGGCTATTCGATGCTAATCAAAGTGGCCAATGGCACACTCGCCTCCAACGGACAAGAGTTCTTTCTCTCACCCTGGACATCATTCCACAGTATGTATATATATGTATATGTATGTGTATGTGTATGTATACACACACACACACACACACACACACACACACACACACAGAACCCACTTGCCTAGTTTCCAACAGACTTCTCAACCTCGGAGGATGCCTGCCATAGATGGGGATGAAACGTCAGGAGAGAGTGCTTCTGGAACCTTGCCAGACAGCCCAGAAAACTCACAACCCAGTGATTCCAGCCATGAAAGCCTTCGACAACATGATCAAAACACTTCAGCTTCTTTCATATTCACATCGCTTCATTCCAAACACAAGCAAACGATCCCAGAGATTGGAAATTTGTGAATGGAAACATCTCGTTCTGGCATCTTTCTCACCTTGAGAAAGTGGTTATTGAGTCCCAACGAACCATAACATGTTCCAAAGCTGCCTTTGTTTCCTTCCTTCCTCCCCATATTCCTCCTCCTCGCCCCATTCATTCCTACCTGGACTTGCCCCTTGCCCACGATCTTGTCCACGATCTCATTGTTGTCCTTGTTCATTTTGCTCTTGTCGTAGCATTTCTCGTAACACAGGATCCGGAGCGTCTGGGAGCCCTCCAGCTCGATCTCAAATTCCTGCAGAAATCGGAGAGAAAGAGAGGATGAGTGGTTGCTTCTTAGCATTGCACACACATATAATGCACACACACACACACATATACACATAGACAAATTATATAGCTAATCCTTTCTATACACTGCCCTCTTGTGGTTGCCTCTGAGCACAACATGCATATATATCTGTATCTATATCTCACCACTAGCTAATCCTTTCTATCGTATTTCCTTTTTGTGGTTGCCTCTGAGAACAGCATGCATATATATAGCTAATCCTTTCTATATACTTCCCTCTTGTGGTTGCCTCTGAGCACAGCATGCATATATATCTCTATCTATCTATCTATCTATCTATCTATCTATCTATCTATCGCCACTAGCTAATCCTTTCTATCGCTATATTTCCCTCTTGTGGTTGCTTCTGAAAACAGAAGGTATATATATAGCTAATCCTTTCTACACACTGCCCTCTTGTGGTTGCACCTAAGCACTGCGCATATAGCCAGTAGCTAGTCCTTTCTAGAGAACTGTAAAACACATATATATAGCCAGTAGCTAATCCTTTCTATGCACTGTCCTTTTGTGGTTGCCTCTGAGCATTGCAGACATAAATATAACTCAATAGCTAATCCTTTCTATACGCTGCCCTCTTGTGGTTGCATCTAAACACTGCACATATTAGATATATATAGCCAGTAGCTAATCCTTTCTATGCACTGCTCTCTTGTGGTTACCTCTGAGCATTGCAGACACAGATATAACCCAGTAGTGAATCCTTTCTATACACTGCCCTCTTGTGGTTGCACCTAAGCACTGTGCATATAGCCAGTAGCTAATCCTTTCTATGCACTGTCCTTTTGTGGTTGCCTCTGAGCATTGCAGACATAAATATAACTCAGTAGCTAATCCTTTCTATACGTTGCCCTCTTGTGGTTGTACCTAAACACTGCACATACTAGATATATATAGCTAGTAGCTAATCCTTTCTATGCACTACCCTCTTGTGGTTGCCTCTGAGCATAGCAGGCATAGATATGACCCAGTAGCTAATCCCTTCTATACACTGCTCTCTTGTGGTTGCACCTAAACACTGCACATATTAAATATATAGCCAGTAGCTAATCCTTTCTATGCACTGTCCTTTTGTGGTTGCCTCTGAGCATTGCAGACAGAAATATAACTCAGTAGCTAATCCTTTCTATACGCTGCCCTCTTGTGGTTGCATCTAAACACTGCACATATTAGATATATATAGCTAGTAGCTAATCCTTTCTATGCACTGCCCTCTTGTGGTTGCCTCTGAGCATTGCAGGCATAGATATGACCCAGTAGCTAATCCCTTCTATTACACTGTTCTCTTGTGGTTGCACCTAAGCACTGTGCATATAGCCAGTTGCTAATCCTTTCTATGCACTGTCCTTTTGTGGTTGCCTCTGAGCATTGCAGACATAAATATAACCCAGTAGTTAATCCTTTCTATGTACTGCCCTCTTGTGGTTGTACCTAAGCACTGCACACACACACACATGCACACATATATAGCCAGTAGCTAATCCTTTCTATGCACTGCCCTCTTGTGGTCGCCTCTGAGTATTGCAGACATAAATGTAACCCAGTAGCTAATCCTGTCTGTACACTGCCCTCTTGTGGTTGCACCTAAGCACTGACACACATACACACATATATAGCCAGTAGCTAATCCTTTCTATGCACTGCCCTCTTGTGGTTGCCTCTGAGCACTGCAAACATACATACTTATAAGCCAATATCTTATCCTTTCTATACACCACTCTCTTGTGGAGCTTCTGAGAATTGCATATACATATAGCCAGTAGCTAATCCTTTCTATATGCTGCCTCAGCTCCACTGCCATCTCCCTCTGTGTGTGTGTTTGGCACTCTGCGCTTGCTCAGAGGCACAGTGGACCGGGCTCACCTCGTTCCACTGGGGCTCGGTGGTGTCCCTGAAGACGCGCGTCTTGGCTTTGCTGACAAAGTACCCGAAGGAGTCCACTTCCAGCGTGCAGTACAGGTCTGGCAAGAAGAGAGGAAGGCGGAAAAGGGTGCGTGAAGGAGGGAAGGAAGGAGAGAAGAGCAAGTTTTGGGAGGAAGGCATGCAGGCCAAGGCTTGGACTCACTGGCCGAGTGTTTGAAGCCCGTGGCCGAGTGGACGATGACGTGCAAGAAGCCATTCATGCCTGGGGATTCATCATCTGCAAAAAGTGGAGAGAGAGGGGAGGTTGGCTTGCTTTTAGTGTATTTATCTCCAGGTATGGTTGGACTACAGCTCCCATCATCCTCTACTCTTATCCTCTATCCGGGCACAGCTAGACTGCAACTCCCATCATCACCTATCCAAGTGCGGCTAGGCTGCAATTCCCATCACTCCTCTCTGGATGTGTATATACCACAACTCCCATCACCCTCTATCCAGATGCTGCAGGGCCACAACTCCCATTATCTTCTATATGTATGTTGAGACTACAACTCCCACTATTATCATCATCATCATCCTCTATCCAGGATGAGCCTGAACTACAACTTCCATCATCATCTACCCAAGATTTGGCCAGACTGCAACTTCCATCATCCTCTATCTAGATGCATCTGGTCTACAACTCCAATGATCCACTATATGTAGTTGAGGCTACAGTTCCCATCATACTCTATCCAGGATGAGCCAGAACTACAACTCTCATCATCCTCTATAGCGGGGGATGGGAGTTGTGGTCCAGCTGCATAAAGGGTAGGGGATTATATGAGTTTTAGCCCAGTCACATCTATGTATTTCAGGCCACAACTCCTATCATACCCTATCCAGGATCAGCCTGAACTACAACTCCCATAATCTTTTATCCAGGATTTGGCTGGACTGCAACTTCCATCATCCTATATCTAATTGCAGCTGTCTAAAACTCTCATCATCCACTATATATATATGTTGAGGCTAAAGTTCTCATCATCCTCCATCCAGGATGAGCCTGAACTACAGTTCCCATCATCTGTTATCCAGGATTTGGCTGGACTGCAACTTCCATCATCCTCTATCTAGATGAAGCTGGTCTACAACTCCCATCATCCACTATATTAATGTTGAGGCTACGGTTCCCATCATCCTCTATCCAGGATGAGCCAGAATGACAACTCCCATCATTCTCTATAGTGCATGATGGGAGTTGTAGTCCAGCAACATCTATGTATGTTGATGCTACAACTCCCATCATTTATCCAGGATGAGCCGGAACTACAACTCCCATCATCCTTTATCCAAGATTTGGCTGGATTGCAACTTCCATCTTCCTCTATTTAGATGCATCTGGTCTACAACTCCCATGGCCCACTATATGTATGTTGAGGCTACAACTCCCATCATCCACTATATTTATGTTGAGGCGACAACTCCCATCATCCACTATATCTATGTTGAGGCTACAACTCCCATCATCCTCTATCCAGGATTTGGTTGGCCTGCAACTCCCATTGTCCTCTACCTAGGTGCAGCTAGACTACAAGTCCTATCATCCTCTATCCAGGATGAGCCTGAACTACAACTCCCATCATCCTTTATCCAGGATTTAGCTGGACTGCAACTCCCACCATCCTCTACCTAGCTGTGGCTGGACTACAACTCCCATCATCCTCTTACCCGGATGTGGCTGGACAATTCCCATCATCCTCTATCTAGGAAACGACTGGGCTACAATTCCCACCATCCTCTATGCAGGATGTGGCTGGACTACAACTCCCATAATCCTAATTAGTCCCTCCCAAACCCCACAATTATTCTAAGTTGAGCAACAAAAGGAGTCTTTGTGGTTCAAACAGACGTATAAACAAACAATACTTTGATGTTTCCATAGCTATAGAGAGGTCTAGAGCGAGAGAGAGAGACACCTTCTGAACGTGGGCCACTCACCGTCCTTATTGCTGGTGACCGGGAGGTGATGGACGGTGCGCAGCTTGAAGCAGGAGCCGGTCAGCACTTGCAGCTCAATGGAGCTGAGCACAAAGGCCTGGAGGTCTAGGGAAGGATCCAGACGACGGGAAGGAAGACATCAGGAAGCAGGCACAAACAACACTATTGACATTGTGCCCAAGGCCAAAGGGGACATGCCCCCTTTCAGGCCAATGCGATATATATATATACATATATATATGCCCTCACCTTTCTTTTGCAGTTTCTGGATGGCTTCCCTCCACTCGGCTCGTTCGTAGTCAGACGACAAAAGGAATAAGTAGCTCTGGAAGGGAAAAGCAGAGCGTCGAGTCCTGCTCAGTGGGCAATGTGTCCGCTCCGGATTGCCATCCGAAGCTTCAGAGCAAGGGAAGAGAAAGGTAGGCCCTTCTCACCACCCTATTGACTTGGAGCTAGAGCAGGCTTGGGCCAACTTGGGCCCTCCAGGTGTTTTGGACTTCAACTCCCACAATTCCTAACAGCCTATGGCTGTTAGGAATTGTGGGAGTTGAAGTCCAAAACACCTGGAGGGCCCAAGTTGGCCCATGGCAGAACTAGAGGTACCTTTCCGTTGCGGTTGTGGATCCGGAAAGGGATGGAAGGCGAGTTGAGAAGCAACCAGAACTCATTGTCAAACATCTTCTTCTTGAGGCGCTCCACCGCCCGACTCTGGCCTTTGCTGGCCTTCTGCAGAAAGGAAGGAAGGAAGGAAAGAAAAAAAAAAGAAGGAAAGGAAAGGAAAGGAAAGGAAAGGAAAGGAACTGTTAAAAAAATGCTCGTGACTCACTGAACTACATACCGGGGAAGGAAGGGGAAGGGGAAGGGGAAGGGGAAGGGGAAGGGGAAGGGGAAGGGGAAGGGGAAGGGAAGGGAAGGGAAGGGAAGGAGGGAGGGAAGGAAGGGAAAGGGAAAGGGGAAGGGAAGGAAAGGAAAGAGGGAGGGAAGGAAGGAAGGGAGAGAGAGAGAGAGAAAGAAGAGAAAGCGGGAGGGAAGGTTGGCTACAGCAATGCATGACGGGTACAGCTAGTGTATGTGGAAGAAGGAAGAAGAAGAAGAAAGGAGGAAGAAATGGAAGAAGGGATGGTGGAAGGGAATGGAGGAAGAGAGGAAAGACAGAAGAAGAGAAAAGAAGGAGAAGAGGAAGAAAAAGAAGGAAGAGGAAGAAGAGAAGAGGAAGAGGAAGGAAGGAAGACAAGGAAGGATGGAACCAAAGAGCAAAGGAAGCGAGAAAAGAAACAGGTAGAGAAGGAAGGAAGAAGAAGGGAAAGAAAAAGAGGGAAGGAAGGAAGGAGAGAAAGGAAAGGAAGAAAGAAAAGGAGAAGAAAGAGGAGAGAAATAAGGAAGGAAGGAGAAAAGCAAGAAGGAAGGAAAGGAAGAAGGAAAGGAAGGAAGGAGGCAGGAAAAAAGGACGAATGAAGAAGAAAGAAGGAAAGAATGAAGGAAGGAAGGGAGGAGAAAAGAAGGAAGGAAAGAAAGAAGAAAGGGAAGGAGGGAGGAAAGAAGAAAGAAA